CCGTCCACTTTTGTCCGGCTTTTGTCTGTTTTTTTTGGCATGCTGTATAGCTCCGACACATTCTCCTCACACATGGCAAGGACCAGGATCCAAGGAGGTGAGTGTACTGTCTGCCTTAGAGGCCTTTTGGTATCGCCAGTGAGGAAGGCACTATAGTTGAGAGTCCCCGCTCATCTCTGCGCCCACACAGCTATCGCGGAATGCGCCTTCGATCGAAGCAGGGTGCAATCAGTAATTCTGAGCAAGAGTTCCTCAAGTCCGCATAACTTTTGCTACCGCGGACTGTAACAGTCCGAAGCAGTAATCTGAACGATTTAGCTGGTCAACTTGGAATATCTGGAGTTGGGTGACAATCGGATCAAGAAAATTGAGAACCTCGACTCGAATGTGAATATCGTCCGCCTGTTCCTTGGAGCCAATCAGATTCGTAGGATAGAGAATCTCGAGCACTTGAAGAAAATCGAGGTGTTGAGCTTGCCCGCCAATGCGATTACAGTAATCGAGGTCAGTGAAGGCTAGATTGACATTCAACGAGTCATTCCTCCATTTTGGATCACTCAAGCATCGCTATCGGTCCTGAGGGGCAAGTCATATCGAGTGGGACACTGTTTAGCCCTTCCATGATACTCATGCTTATGGCTTGAGCCCGAGATAAACGTTGGGAAATTTGGAGAGCGGGTCAGAAGATCCGAGTTGCTGCAACACGGACGACCTGGAGCGGAGTTTAGACTTTTCGCTTCGAATCGATAGGGCGTGTGCGAATGTTGCGTTGCGCGCGTCCTATTTGGAATGCCGCGCCGCAGTGACTCGGATCTCCTGATACGCACTCGGAAGTGCGTTAGCGGTTAGCAATAACACAATCGTCATCCATTTACAACAAACTGAAGTTTCCAGGGTGTTTCAACGTTGTCTACTCTCCGTGAGATCTACCTGGCTCAAAACGGGATTCAGTCGACTTCTGGACTAGAAAATCTGCAGAATTTGGAGATTCTCGACTTCAACTATAACCGCTTGAATAAAGTTCAAGGCATTCGTCATTTCAAGAAACTCACCGACTTTTGGGCCAAACATAATAAGGCAAGTGCAGGTCCCTTGTTGCTTTGCAGAGCAGCACGAAATTCGTTGCAAAACAAATAGAACATATCGTATGGGATCTTCTAGCATCCCTGCTAGCTACTGGAAGTCCACACCAAGCATCTGAGTGCTCAGGTTCGAAAAAGTTGCGAACTCACTGGTCAAGGCTGCGCATAGAATTCCCTATGGAAGAGAGCCCTTGAAACGATGGAAACAAACGTGCTCTCTCTCGGGGTGCCTGTCGGCTCAGTAAATCCCAGATCCGCCTTCGAGCAGAAACTAGTCAGTCT